CATGATGAACATCGCGTTTGCCGAAATTGCTGCGTTGTTGTCTCGTCCCTCACTTCAGATTTGGCCAGACAAGTCTCTTCCTATATAAAGCGCTTCCTATAGACAACCATAGAAAACCCTAAGGAGGTCAAAGAAGATGCCAGGGTTAAAAATTTTTAAACTGTAACACCCTGAAGTTAAGTGGCATGGCTAGAAAATCCAACTCGAATTTCAACCTTGTGTAACTCATCGACATCTCACGTCGAAAACCATAGGAGGAAAAATGCCCTAGGTGGGTGAGCTTAATGAGTGTAATGACTTGGATGGATAGTTGGTGTGCCCTCTGACCACGTGATCTTATGAAGAAATCTTTGATGTTCACCTGCCCCTCGAAGGACAGAGAACGTCAAAGTGTTTACTTCTTTGCCACTCACCCATCTCTCGAAGGACAATGAGTACCAAAGAGGGGCAACTGTAGACACCCCATTTTAAATCTGACAAATTTCGTGGTTTCCTGAACTCTTAGGATCATACTTAACCTAGTAAACCCATTTTTTTGGATACATACGTGCTGGTTATGTGAGCATATCCTCCCCAGCGGATTTTGACCCCTATAAACCCACTTTTCGTAGTCATTTGGAAAAGAGAGAGAAAAGGATTAGAGTGAAATGAAAAATACGATTTGGGATAGAGAGAGAGACCAAACCCTAGAAGAGAGCTGATAGAGATCAAAAATCTGAGAGATCAGAACCCTAGGGAAGATGACATATAAAGATCAGAGAGAAAAAACCAGATAGAGTTGCACAAGAGAAGAGAAAACCCTAGAAACTGCTTCAAGAACTCCAGCCTCTTGAGAGAAAACCTAAGTCTGAGAAAACCTAGACCTAGGGCACAACCATCCTAGATCTACCCTTAGGGCACAACCACCCTTCTTTAACGAGAGACTTTCTGGTGAACATCCGACCCAGAGAGACAAAAGAGGATCGGTTCTGATACGGGCGAGCCCCAGAAGGCTCGGGAGTCCCAGGCCATCTGGCCCGTTTTGGTACCATTTATTTATTTTTTTATTCTTTTTTTATTATTTTAATTTCATTTTGATCTGCTTATTTATTTTAAAATCATATTTTCGTGTCATGGATCATGTTGGCTCTGCCAGAGATCTGAGAGTAGATCTGCTAATTCCAGGCAGATTTGGCCTTAGATCTGAATTTGATTTATCCCACTTTCTTTTCCACTCTTTTATTTCATTTTTATTTAGTTTAAGGTGTCAAAATCTGAGAGATCTTCATCAGAAGATCTGTCAGATTTTCATCGTAAACACCTCTTCTAGTAAATTTTTGAGGTGCGCTTTAATTTGACTGTTTATGGCCTCAACATTATATAAACTTTTCCCAAAAATTTATAGGTTTCATGGAATGGTGCTAAATGTGCAAGAATTTAATAGTTTCATGCAATGGTTTAAAAACCGGATCGGTAACTCGGATCGGGCTTTTCAAAAACCG